AATTTGTCACTTAGACTTTGACGGGAACTTGCTTTGGAACCGGATTGTTGTAAATTCCTTTTCAAGTTTCTTCCTAAACCTTTGGCTCCTTGATTCTTCTCAAGCTTTTACAAAGCTTCCAATGGAGGAGTAGCTTTGAATTTCACCAAGCTTTGGTGAAGAACACTCTTCAAGAGGTGCCACTCCTTAGAAGAGATAATCCACTTCAATCCTCACCACACTCTTACTTGAAGAGGATAAGAGAATTGAATGAATATCAAAGAGGTTGGAGACTTTTAGAAGAGATCATTTCTGAACAATTTCGAAATTCACTCAATATATGATCAAAAAGTGATCACAAAGATGGAAGAAGAACTTATATAAAGTAGGGAAACTTGTGGTGCAAGCTAGGCTAACTATGGTTCAAGAGAACCATAATTAGCTTAACTTGATCGGCCTAGTTGGTTTAGGAGGCTTGTGGAGCAAGCTTCTATCTTAGCTTGCTTGGCAAGCAAGCTAAGTTAGAAGCTTGTAGCACAAGCCTCCCAAGTGTGCAAAGCAAGCCAAGCAATTCGGCCAAGGGAACTAGGCTAGGCGGCCAAGGCTTGAATTCTATATTTAATCCAATCCAAAAACTTGGAATTGGTTTAGTTAGGTTCACCAAATGATGGTGAGACCTAGCTAAATCAATTCCTTGGAAAATATGGAGAAAAACAAGTCCAATATGTAAAATTTGGCCTAGGCCCAATTCTGGCCCAATTACTAGTTGCACTTACAAACCTTACAATTTGTCACCCCACTTCTACTACTTAAAATATGAAAATGAATGATCCTGAATACAAGGTCAAATGGAGCAAAAGTCTCCAAGTAATATATCCTAAAATCCTAAAGGATAACCTATAATAAAAGAAAGAAAGTGTCTCATAAATACAAAGGCAAAATACACCTATACAAACAACTACTATGTACAAGTATCATACAATGGAGACTAAGAGACTAATAAGAGGATTCACACTCAATGCTCATGAAAAGCAAAGGTCTAAGAAGCATCTCCTCTATAGAAGCCTCCTCTAGCCTCCTAACCATGAACCTAGTTAAAAGCCCAATAGTCTTCAAATATATATGTAGCCTCCTTGGATGGTCCTCCATCATACTTTTTATTTATATAATTAAGTATCTTAAATTATGATTTCTTGTCACATGATTGTTGCATGATTTATACTTATGAAGGTAGAGATTCACTAGATTTCCTTCAACTCACACAAACTGTTAAATATTTACTACACTACTTTATAATGATGTTGGTGGATCAACTGGGAAATTATTCTATTATTTATAACATACATGTTTTCATAAGCTAGAAAAATCACTAAAATAGTGTCAATGCCAATCAACACTCTTATATCAACAACATTTATTAATTATGAATAGAAATTATCAATGATACTAATAGAAACCATGCATATGAGAAATTTAAACATAAAATGTCTTAAAATTTGACAATATGGTACTATAACATTGAAATATGAAGTTAAAATAACATTAAGTATGATTTCTTGCTACATGATTTCTCGCTCGGACTTTTATTTATAAAGCTAAGTATCTTAAATGATAGGTATATATATTGCTAAGGGATGAGTTGGAACTTATTGGACATCAATGCCTCTAGCAATGATTCAGATGGAGTGGTAACCTTAAATAAACATGTCATTAAGCTTGCAAACACGCATAAATAGTTCTTAATGTTGCCATTTGATATTAATATGAAAGTCAAGCTACAAGTAAATGCAAAAAGAATCCAATTAATGGAGATAAAGATTAATGTAGCTGGAAAGTGATAAGATTAATGCATGTCTCTTGAACAAGTAATAACTACATTTTGATTTGCTAATAAAAAAAATGTATTGGAGGGAGTAAAGTTAGGGAAGATGAAGTTTTGGGGTCTTTAAATAAACCTGTCATTCAGCTGTCGCAACCCGAAAATTTCCGATCCCGCGACCTATGGTTTAAACATCCTTTTGAAAATCTCATCAATTAAGGAATGCCCGGATACAGACTAATCTTAATTAATGGTTTTGAAAAATGAGTTCATGGAGTCGCCACCAATGTTTTACTCAAAACATTGGAAAAAAAAAGATTTTAAAAAGTCCAATAATGGCCTCGATAACCAGAATTGGGTTCGGGAGTCGATTACGTGTAGGGAATGTATTAAACACCCCTACAACGCCCTCAATTGGTACCTTATGATAAAGTTAATATGATAAGAATTAATAAATTAAATATTAAATCCCCTTTATTAATATTTATTTACATGCTTGAAATTTAAATTATACAATTGACTCTAAATGTCTACATGATTGCTTTTATTATAACAATATTGATCAAAGATAAGAAATAAAAGGGAGAGAAAAAGATTGACTGAAATACCTCTTGAACGAGCTCTATTGAATCTTCAAACAGGTGCTTTGTGGTGACCTTTCACACTATAATATGCCTCACAAAACTCAAGAAATACAATAAGAGGGAGAGAGAGAAATTTCGAGTTGTAAGGAGTTCTGGACGAAATTTTGTGCCTCTAGAACTGTGCCCAAGCTGTCTATTTATAGGCATTAGAAAGTTTCCAGAATAGCCCGTTCCAAAATCGGAACGACCTGTTCTGGATCCGATCATTCTGTGTTAATTTTATAACTGAAACGACCCATTCTGAAACTGGAATAACCCGTTCCAGAGATAAGATTAACACATAATTGGGTAGACTGGAACGGCCGTTCCAAACAAGGATTTTTAGGCCTTTTTAATAACTTGGAATGGCCCGTTCCCATTTAGGAACGGCCCATTTCAATGTAGGTTTTAACCCTTTTTAAGGAGTTTGGAACGACCCGTTCCAATTTAGGAACAACCTGTTCCAAACTAGGGTTTTAGGCCCTTTTAGGAACTTGGAACGACCCGTTCCAAATTGAGAACGGCCTGTTCCGGTTTTGCAACAGCCCGTTCCAGGCTTCCAAAACCATCTTGTTTTGACTTTTAGGCCTCCTGATGTCTTGTCCTATTATTTCCATGCTTCGGGAGCTCCTTTCATTGATAATGGACGTCCATTTCATTGCTTGTATGCCCCTGGACGAAATTGGGTGTCTACATCAGCTTGCAAACACACATAAATAGTTGCTAATGTTGCCATTTAAGATTAATATGAAAGTCGAGCTGCAAGTAAATGCAAAAGGATCCGATTAATAAAGATGAAAATTAATGGAGTTGGAAAAAGATGAAGATAAATGCATGTTTCTTGAACAGGTAAAAATATATTTTGATTTCTAATAAAAAAATGTACCGGAGGAAGTAAAGTTAGGGAAAATGAAGTTTTAGGGTCTTTTTAATCTTTGGTAGAAGGTTCCACGTCACATCAGTCATTTTTATCATCTTTTGATAGCACATGTTTCTAGATAGAGCATAGAACAACAGTGACAACATATTGGCTAAGGCTACATCCGTATATGGTGATGCCCGTAAGCATGTAGAAAAGGAACATGAAGAATTAAATACCATGTAATTAAGCACTTCTCTTTAATTCCATTCTATGACCATACAAATAGTTTGTTTAATATAATATATGCATTTATATAGACCTTACTATCCAAACTTTCTTGTTAATGAATATATTCTGTAAGTTGGCTTATCTAATATGTTCTTCAAAATAAGTGCGGCATGTATGTTTGATTGTAGTTACTTTTACAAATTAGTTTCTATAACATACATCTTATAATTCAATTAAGTTAATTTAAAAAAGTTAAATTCATAGTGTTGCAAGGGTGAGCAAGATAACCTTAAAGAGGTGACTCCAATTTTTACTATTATGAGAATGTAACATTAGTTTGTTTTTAAAAATATTAAATTTAGTGGTTTATTTTGATAATGATTAACATATGCCCTTTTCTTTACCATTAAAGATTATTCACTACTTAATTTGTTCTTCAAAGTAAGCGTGACATGTGCGTTTGATTGTAATTACTTTCACAAATTAATTACTATATCATACATCTTATGATTCAATTAAGTTATTTTAAAAGGGTAAAATTCATAATATTGCAAGTTACAACTCTTAGAGCAAGATAAGCCTAAAGAGGTGACTCTAATTTTTAGAGTGATGAGAATGTAAATTAATCTATTTTAAAAAAAAATTAAATTTATTGGTATATTTTGATAATAATTAATATATTCCCTTATTTCTTTACCATTTAAGATTATTCACTACCTAATACGTTCCTAAAAGTAAGTGTGACAGGTTCCTAAAAGTAATTTATTCACAAATTAGTTACTATAGCATGCATCTTATAATTTAATTAAGTTGATTTAAAAGGGTTAAATTCATAGTGTTGCATATTGCAACTCTTACATGAAGATAAGTTTGGAGAGTTGACCTCAATTTTAACTACTATAAGAATGTAAATTAATCTATTTTTTGAAATATTAAATTTATTGGTTTATTTTGATAATGATTAATATATAGTCTTATCTTGCTTTAAGAGTTGCATTTCTTGGTTATTCATGTCAATTTAGTTACTAAACAAACATTATTAAGATTCATTTTAGAAATAATATTTTCACCATCATATTTGTAATCTCCAAATTATTGATATAAAGAGTAAAAATATGTTTTTATAGAGAAGACAATTGAACTTGAATTGGTGTTAGTTAGTTAAGTAATGATAAAAGTTACAATTTTTGTGCATAGGAAATATAATCAAACACGTTATATTTTTTAACAATCAAACAGCTCAATTTTTAAATGTAAACATTGACTATTATATTTAGTTGAAAAATTATAATTACTAACTTGATTTGAAATGAAATAAACCTATACAGATTAGTTCAAAAAAATATAGATAAGGTTTTCACAAATTTAAATTGGTCATTATATAATTAATAGTGAAACATATTTTTTTAACAAAATCTACAAGCTTAATACTAAAGAAATCCGGCAAAAAAATGCTACGTCTTCACCTTCAATCTTTGAATCACTTGATGGAAGGGTTTGGATTTGAAGGGATAGGTCGATTTGGAAAAAAAAAGAAGGGTTAAGGAAAAAGAAAAGAGTTGAGAGATGGGATGGTAAAAAATGAGTAGAATTAACCCTAATTCTGCAAATCCAAGATAAGAGGAAAAAATCTTTTATTAAAAGAAAGAAGGTCTTTTATGATTGACATATCTTTTTTATCAACAAATATCAAAGATTTTATTAAAAGATTTTGTGATAGCCTATTGTTTTATTATTTAGATTTAGATAATAGAAACGGATAATTATTTTAATTTATATATACAATGTGATCAATGACGGAGAGTGTTACTTAATTGTCAATTTACACATAGAATTGAAGTAAAAAAAATGGTGAATTGTGATTACTGTTGTAAGAACGATTCCGGAATTCGAGACGATGATGGTTTCCTGTGAGTAACCGTCTTTCTTTTATGCGTTAAAATTGATTTATTTATTTATTTAATTTGTAAATTCTTGATATCTTTTTGTGTATGGTGTTGGATTGGGTTATTGCTAATGTTAAGTTTTCTTGCAATTGGAATGTTGTCAGGTATTGTAGGGAATGTGGGAGGACGCGGGAAGCCTACAATTTTTCTCAGGAGGCAACCTTTGTGAAAAGTTCGTCTGGGCAGGTAATTTGAATGATTTCTTTTTTTAGGTTGGTGTAAGGTAGACTTGGTTTTTGTGGAAATTGTGGAAAACTATAATTGATGCAATCACTGTTGTGATTGATGAGACATAGAAAATTTCAATTTTGTGGCTTCCATTGTGGTCACTGGCCCAATTTTGGACAATGGTGGTAAGTGAGGGAATGATAAAGGGTACCATTGTTCAGATGATTGAAATAAGATGGAATGGAACAGAATTTGATATTAGGGGTAAGGGATTCAGCTTATGAGGTCACATTTTTTACATAGGCCAGTGTGTTTGAGATTAGGGCTGCATATGAATAAAATTTATAATTCATACCATTGTCTTGTACTAGTACTACAACTTCTAAACAAAGGAATGGGAGCTGTTTTTTGTTCCTTATTGATGGTATGGGATTGTTGTTCCCCTCTGTTTCACTACAATATTCTTTACCTTTTTTAAGGCTACTATTGCATATACTGTGTTTGTTTTTTTAGGAAAATTTAATAGTGTGTTTGGATAAGGAATTTTACAAATTTAAGGAATTTAGAATTCTTGGTATTTGAATTACTTTGACATTAATCTCTATCATTCTTAAAATATTTTGTTTGGATAAGTCAATTTCAAATTTTCAAATTTTAAATTCTTAGTTTGGATATGATATTTTGATTTCGTCATAGTAAAATTAATTTTAAAAATATATTCATATGTTAAGATTTTTAAGTTAAATTTTATAAAAAAAAATATTAGCCAATTTTAAAATATTTAATATTTTTAAAAATTAATATTAAATAATATTTAATAATTTTAAAAATATTTTTAAATATTTAATAATTAAAAAAATGAAGAGATAAGAGATAAGATAAAATATATAAGTGAAATAACAAAAATAAATATGAAAAATTTCAAATTCATACTTTTTTAGGAGAATTTGAAATTCTACTATTTTAAGAAATTTTACAAATGCTTGGATTTCAAATTCTTTGTAAATTCTGTATCCAAACAAAATATTTCACCTTAAAGAATTTGAAAATTTTCAAATAAATGAATTACTCTATTTAAATTCCCTATCTAATCACACTATGGGATGAATTAAACAATTTCATGTGTTTGTTTGGGGTGAATTGGGAGGTAAAAAATGTCAAAATTTTGCAGTTCCCGCCTGAATAAGTATCTTCACACCTGAGGCATCATTTGACACAGAAAAGGGGTTGTTGGACACTCATGCCCTTCACTAGACAACTATGGCACAAATGAGAAGTGATCTATCAACTTCTGTCCTGCCTAGTTCATTTTCACGATTAGATAATTCCTTGAGTTCCTACATCTAGTCTGACACCTAATTGCAGAAGTCGAATAGCTTTTTCATGTAATGAATTACCAAACAAGTTAATATACAACAATGTATCTAAAGTAAATTATCAGAAGGACAACAGCCACTACATCATAATAAAGAGAACTGGGTTATGGATTTTCCATGATGTAAAATTGATCTCGAATCATTATGCACTAACAAGCTTTCATTGAAATAGCAATGAAAATAAAAGGGGCAGCATTTTAACAAGTGAGGAAACAGAACAATGCTATTAACTGGTCAATTCCCAAATTATCAGAAATATCAAAGAAACAGGAATATGGTCTTTTACAATTACTTCTTATTTCTTTCCTAAATCCCTTCTTTATATCCATCAATCCAAGCAATATAAATTTTCACTCAAAATGCACTTTAATATTTTATTTTCTTTCCTCCCAAATTTAACTCTTATTCAAACAAGTGTTAGAAATTAATGTCTAGTGGAGAAATATTAGCCACTAATTGCTACAGGGTATGGTACCTGTACCTTGATAAAATGGAAGAGTACTGAGAAACCTCCCAGTTTCTAAGGTGATGATGTAGAGTGATTCCCCAAAGTGCCGGCGGATGAAGTGGTATGGAAATGGATTTGGTGTAGCACTTTTCTTCTTACGGATTGATAAAAAAATATTTTTTAAATAATCATAGCTAGATTTGATGTTTGATCTGAAATCTCCAGGTTTTCCCATGAGATATACGAGTGAAGTGTTTTTAATGATCAATTTAGTTTGTTAGTTTGTTTCTAGACTGTTGTTTTTATTATATCTTTCATTGTTCCCTCACATTGTATCCAAAATTTGTTTGTTTCACAGAACAAATTATCAGGCCAATATGTAAGATCAGTTCAGAGTGACTTCTCTGCTTCACGTCAAAGGACTTTAGATAGAGGTATTCTTTGTTATACATCATTAATGATTTTATACCACGGAATGTGGATGTAGTTGAGTTTCTGTTCTAAAAATTCTTTTTGTTACATAATATCGTAATGTAAATTGATTTTCTCATTCGGTATATGGTGCCTTGTACATAGAACTATTGAACGTGTAATTATTCTAATATTAAATATTTCCACTTCTTCTAATTATATGCACCTTCTTTCTTGTTTTTCTTCTTTTGAATTCATGGTGGATTGTGATGTTTAACATCTTTATTGAGATTTGAGATAAAGTAAAATACGTTATAACAATGATCATGATAACCAATGTCATTGATAGTGTGAGTAGTTGATGAGAACTATAGGGAAAACATTTACAAAATAGAAGTTTGTACATTTATCTTTTCTACACTAAAGCACAATGATATATGATAATTTAATATCTGTAGGTTAAATTTAATGATTATATTCTTATGTGCTAATTTTCTTTGGGATTGCAGCTTATGATGATCTCAGATATTTAAGTTCCAGCCTTGGAGTGAACGATGATAATATGGCCAACCAAGCATTGGCTTTCTATAGAGTATGTTACTGCGTGAACGTCATTGACGTCAGACATTCTTTCTTTTATTAATACATTCATGTGATATTTTATTCAATCATTGTGTATGCCTAGTAAAGATAGCACTTGAAAGGAGTTTCACCAGGGGACGCCGATCAGAGCATGTACAGGGTGCTTGTCTATATATTGCATTCCGGTAATATTTCTTTTTGCTATAGGTTTGCAGCATGTGGCAGTATCTCTAATTTTCTATATATATTTGTTATTTGATAGTTTGCACAAGTAAATGTATGAAAGATCTCTGGTTTATAACTGCTAATCCCTGTTTAAATGATATATATTTTATTGTATCGGATACATTAAACACAAAGCTTGCATTCTGTTGGATATGATTGTCTAGCCCGGTGTTGTGTAGGTGTGTATGTGTATGTATGAATGCTTCCATTTATAGGTAAACATATCCAAAATGGTTGTTCCAAAAATGCAAAAGGGAAAGAAAACTGTTGCTCAGTTGGATATGTTTGTATCACAAAACTCAGGAGAAAAGTTCTTGAGAGGCCTACTAATCTGCAACAAGTCATTCCTACATTCCTATTTCCCCTTTTGTGTTAGTTTCCTTATCTCCCTTAATAGGATTAGCCATATAGCCTCTATACAGGGGATTAGATATTGTATTCAAAACACAGATACAATTCGATTTTTTTCTCTTCCCTTTATTTTCATGTTGGTATGAAAGCTCCCGATCCAGAGAGCTCTACTTCCACATTCAAATCATTGACACCACCATCAGAGGAAGCCCATCCACCAATATACTAAGGCCCAATATCTCGGTCTATCTGAATTGGCATGCACTTGCAAGAGTCATGTCTTTGTCAGTTTGTTTTTTCGGCGTGTGAAACCATCATTCCACTTTTCCAGTTTGGATGAAACAGAGTGGAAAGAAATAGGGTAGATAGGGATAAGGTGGAGCTGGAGCACTACCCTTGTTTGGATGAGCAAAGAAATGAGGAGAGAGGGAAAAGAATGATTGTTGGATCTACTAAAACATTTCTGTCCATCTTAACCATGACTTTTGTACATAGGATAAAGCAGACATACTTAAACGCCATCTTGTCCTCTGTTTTTTTGTTCTGTGTTTTATTTTTCATCCTTGCTTTCATTCTTCTTCTGTGCACAACCACTGCCTAACCTCCTCTCCTCACTGCTTCACTTGACAAGATCATTCCCCTATGTAGGTTCAACAGCCTTTGTCATGGAAGGAACACAACACAGCAGTTTCCTCTTTGTTCCTTGTTTCATTTTGCTTATGCATCTTGCTTTTGTTTCTCATATTCCCCAATCCCCATGATACCCAAAATTCTTGCCAAAGCACCTCACCAAGTCTTTGAAAATTTGCATGGTCAGTAGCTACTTGCATGCACCTAGAAAAATACCCAAATGATGTGATTTTGGAATTAATGTCTCTAATTTGGTTATCTCGAGGACAATAATCTGGCTATCATATCCATTGTGGGCATTACTGATGCCACCCTGCTCTTTTGTTGTGTTTGGCAAAGGTTTCTTAGAATTTGGGCGATGGGAAGTAAAAGTCACATGAAGTTGGGGAGATAATTTGTTTTTAACAAAAATATAAAAAAAATCCCGGTGTTGGTGTTGTGGATGGTTTACATGTTCATCATCAACATATTTATAAAAATAATTATTTCATTAAAAATATTTTTGAGCATAAGATAGAATAAGATTTTAAAAAAGTTGAAAAATATTGCTTTCTCAATTAAATAAGAAATAATTTTTTGAGGTTAAAGATGTTTATATACAAATTATGTATTTCATTCTACTTTCTTTTCAACTTATCCAAATAAGCGAAAAGAAAATTCTAATTCTTTCTTTATTTCTATTCATTCCAATAACATTTTTTTTAAACTTCTATCTCTCTTTTTTTCCCCTATTTTACCCTTTTTCCAAACAAAATTTTAGGGCTTGTGTTTTTCAGTGTTTCCAATGATATAGTGGTTGCAGCTAGGACTTTGCCAATGATGGTTGTATTGAAGTGATAAGCTAGTGAGAGTAAATGATGGTCAGTAGTGCATTGTGCCTACGGTTCAAATGCAACATGAGTCTATAGGATTGTATTTTTTTTTCACCTTTGTCATAATTTTTATGACTTTGATGTTAATGTATCTGAATTCTTTGCAACATTTCTTTTTTACACTGAAATTATATTTCTTCTTGCAGGGAAAATAATAAGCCATTCCTTCTTATAGATTTTTCAAATAATTTAAGGACAAATGTGTGAGTAAGCATTTCTTTAGTTACTAGATGTTTGGCACTGCTTATATATTTCCCCCTTTGGTGTATTTGTATCTTGATTTATTTCAATTTTTCTGTTTCTGAATGTTGTTTGTTCCTAACAATAATTTTTATGCAGTTATGTGTTAGGTGCAGTTTTTTTGAAGCTTTGTAAACTACTAAGTCTTGAAGAGCACCCAATAGTTCAAAAACCTATCGATCCCAGTCTTTTCATTTATAAGTATACAAATAGTAAGTATTGTTTTTAAGCTCAATTTATTTCACTGGGTCAATGAAATATGTGGTGTATAGTTAGTAGCATTGCATTGTGGGATATAGATTATTTGCAGCAGACTAATACAGTACTTTTCCATACTTCGGAAATAAGGTAGATATCTTTATTTGGCAAAGCAAGAGATGTGACTGCTCTTAAGTTCACCTTTTCATTTGACATATGAACTATGGACTATAAAAGGAAAGAGAGAATAAATTTCTTTATTGATGGTAGTGTTCCATAATTATTGAGAACAAGGTGCTTTATGCTCTTTTATGCTTTTAGAATTATTTATAGAAGACTATTTTCTAATCAGTGTTATTGAATCCTTGGGTACAAATACAATTTTTTTTATAGACCTATGTTTTTGGTTGAATGACGTGATTCTAAACCTATCTAATGGTGTATAAGATTAAGAAGGGAGTAATGTGTGAACAAAAAATATAGAAACTAACTCTTATGATATTCCTGTGAATAAATGTATATGATAGAAAGAACATATTTGTTAAGGCTTAAGTATGTTTTTAGTCACCATAAAATAAACGAGTTTTGGTGTTAAATTTTTCTTTGTTTTTTCACCTCTTTAAAATTTGAAATTATTGTTTTTCGATCCTTGTAAAATAAACAAATTTTGGTTTTGGTCTCTATAAATATTGTTCTTTGATTTTCATCCTCTAATATCTAAAGTCACTAATTTTTAGTTCATAACATTCATTTTTAGGTAGAAAAACAGCATTTGTTTCAATAATCTATAAAGATTTTTAAAAGTGTCATAAGTTGATATGGTATCACAAACAGTAGTGGCTGTCACCTGAGATCATCACTTAAGTAGTTAACAAGGATCATACAATAGTAGGGATTGAAAACAATGATTCCAAATTTTAGAGGCATGAAATGTTTTTTTTTGTACAGGATAGGGACCAAAATTAAAACCTGTTTCTTTTATGGGACTAAAAATGTATTTATATTTAAGCCTATTTGTTAATTATTGTGTTGTGAAAACTTGCGTATATGAACTTGTATATATTTTTAGCATGGTACCTTGGTTTAGTGTACCTTCTTTTCTTTTATCAAATTGTGTGCCAATTATTATCTGAGTGAGGAAACATGATTTGAGTAATTTTCATGTAGATTTGTTAAAGCAAAGGAATGTGTTTGTCTCTGAAACTGCACTTAGTATTATTGCCAGCATGAAACGTGACTGGATGCAGGTAATGCGATGTTGATCTGGCATTTTTCATGTCTCTCTTTCTGACCTGCTCTTTATTTATTTCTTTTTCTGAATAGAATGATTCTTCTTATTAATGTGATGGGATTGCTAATGTTTGAAAAACAGACAGGGAGGAAACCTAGTGGGTTATGTGGTGCAGCAATATACATGGCTGCGCTTGCACATGGTTTCAAGTGCACTAAGTCAGATATTGTAAGTTAAGATTTCATTTTCTGCCTTATGATTATATGTTGCTAAAGGGGTTTAATGGGAAAGGATTTGCAAGTCACTGCAAGGGTCCTTTCTCCTTTGTTGTGTTTTTTTGCAGAGGCTTTCTTGTTTGTTCTTTGTTTTTCCCCTCATTTCCTCTGAAGAAGATTTCTTAGCCTTTTATCAGTCTGTTCTTGTATTGCTGTCTTTCACCCACCTAATGATATTTCCCCCTTGACTATTATTATTATTATTTATTTTATTTTATTTTTTTGGTAAAGATGTAGGTTTTGCAGTTCTCTAGTGAGTTTGATGGAATTTCGTTTTTCCACTTAAGTTTACTATGGAATAGGATTGTATTTATGGTTTCATTTTGGGCTTATGCTCATGTCTATATCATGCATTGTTAGAAAAAACCAGACCAGACCAGGTTGACTGTGAACCAGATCAGTTACTTACTGGTCAGGTCAAAAGCTATTTAACCATTGTGCTGGAAAACTGGTAACGAACCAGTAAACTAGACAGAAACCGGTCAAAGTAGGTCCTTTGAGTAGGGGAGAGTATTTTTACTGCTACTGGTAATCTTAACATCAGCCATTGCGTTCATATTTCTTGGGATTTTTTATTTTTAAAATACTAAATATTTAATTAATGTTAATATAAGTTTTTAAATTTAAACTTATGAATATGTCAATTGTTAAAATTTAAGATATTGTTATATCACTTGATTGTAAATATATATACCAGTTTGCCCATGGTTGGACATGTAAATCATGAACCCGTGACTTCATCAGTTCAGTGCCTGGTCCAATTATAAAAACATTGATTTAAATCATGTTGCATATTTTTGATTTGTAGAGGCAGGGCATTTTTGAGCTTTTCAAGTTACTTGTGGTATTTATTTATGTTGTTCAATCACCTTAGTTATACCTTCTCTCAGACTCTCTTTTATACCTTGACAATGATGTGGACATGCTTTGCAATTGTTTTGTTAGAAACCCTGAAATGGTTCTGAGTTTTTAGAGATGAGAAACACAGTGATAGGAAAGGAGGAAGCGTATTTTGGTAGTGTTTTATTGAATTGAAAACAAAGAACCTAAGGAGAGAATTCATCTTTGAAGAGTTTTTTTCTTCACAAAAGGTTTCGCAAATGTACAATACAACTGATGCTCAGTTCTCCAATGATAACACAACAAACAGAATGCGGCTCCTCTACCCTCTCCTCCCATTTAAGCTATTTCCCTGCCTTTACAACTTCAACTACTCTTACTACTTTCTGGTCCCCTCAGTTTTCCATAAAAATAATGCTTCATCTACACCCATTTATGCATGTTAAAACCTTTTGGTACAGTGGGTCACGTATCAATTATCTTTGTGTTTGATGAATTCTTTTAGACTGAGTATTGACAGAAAAAACAGAAAAATTGCAGAGAAAATGAAATTCTGAAATTATAATTTTGCCTTGTTCAGAACTGAATGATTACATTGCATATAATAGCATTCATGAAGCTTGTCCCAGAAGCTCGACAACTATGTAACAAATTTACTAACTGTAGTTCTGAACTGTCATAACTCATAACTGATCCCAACAGAATTTTTCTTTCCATGAAGTGATTAATGAGATTTTTATTTCATGGAGTGGCTTATGTCTATTTACCATATCTGCTACAGTGCAGTGTCATAATTGCTTATTGAATATAAAATTCCTGTCTTCTGAGTTCCAATATTTCATTTTGTTTTCATTTAAGCATTATGTTTCTGAAGAGTTTGAATATTTTAGCAGAGCAACAAATGTTTTGATCTTTTGCACAGACTATTTATAAATTTGCTAATGGATTTTTTTTTTCACTATTGATTTGAAATTTTAAGGATGTCACTCAATCATCTAGTTATTATCTTATTATATCTCTTTTCTCTATAATTTTTTTGTTTGCAAATTTACAATGCAGCTAAGAATCGTCCATGTTTGTGAAGCAACATTGACTAAGCGGTTGGTAGAGTTTGAGAATACAGAGTCTGCTAGTTTGACAGTATGTCTCATATTCCCTGTTATGTCTTTGTATTGTAAACTACTTGTTTATTGACAATATGGTGCAAATAATTGCAATTTGAAATCAGCTCCATGAATCATGCTTTATGCTCTATGTTGCTCAATAGCACCTTATATCCTAATCCTAGTACTGACTTTAGTGGCATGAAAATAATAGGGAATCAATATGATATCCACCTTGCCTTTTCCGCTACTAATAAAAAACTTGTTGCTTCTATATCAAATATTATTTCACCCTCTAAAGGAGAAAAAACATCAATAAGGAATTGCTTTCCAAATTTGAAGTCATGTTTTACAGTGATGTGAAGTCATGTGGTTCTTCGAGTAATCTTTATGAGCATAACTTGTTTTTATTTTAAACGTTCCAAATTCATATTTGAAATGGGCACTAAGCTCTTGAAAATGGTGCTTTGTTTTTTTCTGCTGCAGTTTTAGGGAATACAATTCTTGTGTTTTCAAAAAAGGTGTTGAATATCTATTTGTTTGTAAATTAGTTCCAAAGATTGCTCCTAATTGGTTCTATCATATGCATACATTACCATAAATACTCAAGATACAAAAAATGATTTATCTCTTAATGAATATGCGGAATATAGGCAACTGAAATCTGTACCTTGTAAATGATGAGACGATTACTTTAATTTTTGCTTCTCATAAACATTAAGTTTGTAAAATTTTCATGTTTTTAGACTTCTGCTAATTTTTCTTTGGTACTAGATTCAATCTTTAAAATGATTGGTAGCCTTTTGTACCGAGAACATCATTTTTGGTGTAAAAACTCTTATTCCACTATGAATGATTGATTTCATGCAAAAGATATAAATAGGGATTGGGTTAATAGATGTACACTAATATGCCTAATAATCAGGAGAGATATTTTCCTCTTAATTGGCTGCAAAATAAAAAAAGGAAAGAACATACAAGAGATCCTAAAATAATTTGAAGACTATTCTCCTAGCTGCACAAATCAGAATCAGTTAGACAATTCTATTTGATGCTGTAAATCTGAATGATTATTTTAAAATTAAGGTCTGAATGAATCTCTTGAGTAAGGACCAACCACTGACACTAGAAATATTATTTTTATTATGCACTAGTTACTTACAAATGCTTATAATGTTTTTTTCTCTTCCTCTTTGATGGAGCTTTTTATGTCATCTTTTGAGTTTACTAAGTGCGTATTCTCTATGTCACACTTCAACTTCACCCTAATTCCCCACCCTATTTTAATAGGAAAATAAAATGTATATACAAAAATAACTACTTTTTTAAAAATAATAACTACCCACTATTTTTTAAAAAGAAAACTTATTCTTTTCACGAAGTAAATAAAGATTTCACCAATCTATTATGTTTATAGATTGAGGAGTTGAATACGATGGCAAAGGAGCATGAAAACAATCCAGTTCAAATACCAAATGGTGAACTGAACAAATGTACTTCAAAAGAACTACTATGTGAACACAAGGGTAGTTCTGAGTCCTATTTTGCACTTGGATTATGTGAAACATGTTACAGGGAGGTCAGTCATTTCTTCCTGATGCAGATTTTTGTCTTTTATTAAGTACTATTCATTGTTGTCATTTATTTTTATTGTTCGACTAATTGTTATAGTTTGATAAACTATCTGGTGGACTTGGTGGGGGTTTGGATCCTCCTGCATTCCAACGTGCGGAGAAGGAGAAAATGATAAAATCACATTCTGAGGAAAATTCTAATCAATCACACAATGTAAGTACACCTTGACTAGGTCTTATGCTAGTGTGCATTTTCTTTCTGTAAATGCCGCAAACTTAGGTGCTCACTGATGCCATATTTCAAACCAGAACACATATGGTCATGCCTCACCAAGAAAAATCCATAGATGTTCCAGTTCTAACTGAATGTTGATAAAGTGAGAATCAGCTGCATAAGATATCATGAGCTATGAGGCCAAAAATCTTGTGCAGTTTAGCACCTATTTGTCGTTAACATTAAAATATTACTCTTATCAACTCATCCACTACAAAACTCCCGAGAGTGATATGAATTGTCTTGAACATGACCATGTCACAAGCCATATATGAGCATCTATTGCTAATCTAGTCAACTGAATTTTCTCTTTTCGGATATAATGCCCGTACGCAATCTTCAAAGAGCTATGAGCTAACTTGGCATAAAATCTCACGTATTTTTTTGAATGTTCTTTTCGTTAGTTGGTGGAAGAGTCAAACAATGAATGCAGGAGCCAAATAGAAGAATTACGTTCCTCAGTGCCAGAAAGTATTGGTAGGTGCTTTCATTTGTCTTTATCTTTCTTGGCTACTATAATATCTCTGCTCATAGTTTTGCAATCCTAATTTGCTCAAAATGTTTCCAGTGGTTAATGAAAATGTGGCCACTAAAGATGGTGAGCATGATGAGTCACATAAAGAAGATGATCTGAACACAGAAACTCAAAATGAATCAGAAAGTCTTTCTGATATTGATGATCAAGAGGTGATTAATACCATGCTATTTATTATATTAGATGGTGTTATGCAATTCATACCATGCTACACTGCTTTTAGAGCTGCAATTGACTATTTTTCATTTTTTTTTTCGTTTATTTTTTTTGCGAAACTATAATAAGATTTTTTTGACAATTCCTTTGATCCTTGTTTTTAAGGGGTTGAATTCTTAACTCACTTCTATTTAAGCCTGGATTAACAGGCTAAATCCACCTTCATTTTTGTGTTTTCTAACTTAATTTATTCTAATTCTAAAAAAGATTGAGATATCACCCCTTCCTGTGCTAATATTAGAATGCAAAAATAGTGAATATCAGAGAAATATCTTAATTTTGTTTGTAAATTTCAGTCTATGTTAGACATCAAATGTTTGAACCTAACTTTCCTTAACATAAGGTGATGACCAAGTGTTGACTTATGGTTGGGAAGACAAGATTGAGATTGATGCTACTCATTCAAAAATATCATTTTACGGTCATAGCCCTCTTTCCATTCTTTGCTCTAATAAGTGGGAATACCTCCTTTCTTTTTCTCAAAGGCTCAAGCCTATAAAAATTTATATTGTTAGGCGAGGGTTGTCTAAGTCTTATAAGGACTACATTGGTCATATTTCTAGTTGATGTTAGACTAAACATACCTATTTGTGTTTTGCTCTTATTTTCGTATCCTCCATTTTTATTTTGTTCTCTTAATTAACAATTTATTTCTTTAAATATTAAAAGAAAAGCTTGTGTGGTATAAAACTTTTATTATTTATTCCTATTTTAAAGAGTTAAGAGAAATGAAATCAGGAATAAAATCTTCTCCCTTCTTTTAATGCTGGCATTTAGCAATAATAATCCCATTTCTTGATGTTGCATTTTTGCTCATCATTCCTAAATCTGAATATTTATTGTTTGTATTTGAAATGCTTTTATATGTTGAATTAAGATTGAGATTCTGTTATTCTTGTAGTTTGATATAAATCCCTGGGAAATTTTAATTTGCCTATTTAGTCATGCTCTTGATAATTTTCTGTCGATGCCGAATTTCAATGTATCTTGTCACTGGATTGCTTATTATGCCTGAAGCAGCTATTGGACTGGCTATTGTTTCCTCAATTTATTGTAATAGAAAATAAAACCATATCAATCAATCAAAGTTGTTGAATACATAGATGTAGTGATAATAAATCATAAGATGTACGGTTTAGAATAGTCTATCATTCATCAATCCAAATTTGCATGTATTATGATTATGATTGCAAAAAACAACTATAAGCAAGGTTGTCAAATTTGAGAGTTTATGTAAATTCATGAAGCATCCTTAGACTTGACTTCTAAACTCGTAAGTTCAGAGAAACCAGTCTAGTTGTTGGATCATTACAGATTTTAAATCACACCACTGATCGAATATTGTCAGAGCAACCAAGCTTGTCATCAGAGACTCCCTGATCAGTGGGAGCACACAGCCTTGATTGAATATTGCTAGGTTGTTTTTGTCAAGATTCTCAGCTAGCTGTAGGAATGAGTTATTCGAGGAATACTTTGTGGTGCAAATGAGATGCAGTAGTATCATGATCCATTTTGAGTGTGATTATCTGGTGTGCAGTCAGGGAAGTTAAGGAGAGGAATCGTAAGATGAACAAGTTGTTAATGGAATCTTGGGGGGAAATTTGAAGCACTCAATCAGACTTGTTAATCATCCTCAGGCTTGTGATTCAATCCAAGTTTGCTGGAGTCCAGCTGAATTTATCTAAGTTTTATAGGGGTCTGAGTCTGTGAGTGAGTCAGCATGTTCTCCCTAGCTGGAAACATAAATATAAACTCAGAAGAGTCTATGAGTCAACTTGCGAGTTTGAAAACAATGAACATAAGAAATCAAAATATCTTGGTTTAATTCTTTTCTTTTGAATCAATCTATAAGTTGAATTTTGATTAGCAAAATAAATCATTGATTATTCTCCCTGTAAAATGCTAAATGCTGCCTAGGTTGATGGCTACCTTCACAGTGAGGAGGAAAAGCACTACAAGAAGATTTTATGGGAAAACCTGAATCGCGAGTATCTTGAGGTACTGAAAGTTTAATTCCATTTATTTTTTCTACTTTATATTTTTGGATAAAGTTCTCTGGTGGTTTTTCTGTTTCCTATCTTGAGGGTATTGTGTTTTGACCCAGGTTGATATCATATAGTTTTTCTAGTTAATATAGTTGGGCTTATTTTGGAGATTAGTGTGTATTGAATCTTGCTCAAACTCTACCTTTTTTTACAGGAACAAGCAGCCAAGGAAGCAGCTGCAGAAGCTTCTAAGAAAGCTTTTGAGGAAAATTTCCAAAACTGTTCTGAGGATTTGCTAGCAGCTAGAGAACTTGCTGAATATGCCAGTGCAGCTGCAGCAAAGTCCAGAAAGGTAACTTTTGAATCAATTTTTTGGTGAGACTCTATTTGTTCATGTGTGTTTATTGCAACTAAAGTGATGCTATTGTAAAACGTATGAATTTTTTTTTTCATTAAGTCCACTATTGTTGAAAACTTGATTTTTCATGAAGTGAAGCTATATTTTTTTGTGAGGTTCTATGTGTTCATGAAGTCCACTACTTTTGCCAATCATGAATTTTTATGAAGTGTTGCTATATTTTTGGTGAGGTTCTATATGTTCATGTGGAGTTTCATTAAACATTATATCAATCATATGATTTTTTTTTTTGCAAAATCTAAACATTATATCAATCAACAGAAGCTATAGGTCTAACTAACTAGAGTTAGCAGTTACAACAAATTAACAGAAGGAATATTCCTATGCTACTGCTTTACAACCGAAAATAAAGAATAAAGAAAAGAAATTACAGGAGCAGCAAAACAGAATTAAAAACTAAACTACTGCTAAGTATTATGGGTAAGGACTAAGTAGTAACCTTATACTCCAATACCCCCCACAAGATCAAGTAGGGTGAGGCACATTGAGTGAATCAACTTTGGAACGCATGGCACAAAACCAAGTTGGAGATAGGGTTTCAGTGAGAATATCAGCACTACGCCATCTGCAGAACTGCAAGAAATGATTTCAAGTCATGTTGAGAAATATTAGCTTGTGGCTGCAATGTAGGAGAGTTAGAATTTGAGGATGCCTCAGCGACTTTAATGGAGGCAACAACTTTCTTAAATTTATCAAGACGAGATTCATGTGCAAGAAGAAGAGTTTTAATTTCATTAATTGAAAGATCACCAAATTGACCGGTAATTAGGGAAATTATAGACTCATTCCTCAAGTCATGCTAGTGCATCCACAAGTGTTTGAATTTAAAGAAGATAATCTGGAAATAATTCTAATTCCTTATTTGCCGACCAAAATTAGGAAGTCTAATTATATTATATACAAATACAATGAATGGCTTGATTCCTATTCCTAATATAAACTATATAATTAGGAAACAATAATAATAACCGATTCCCTTATTTACAGCATGTCTAACTTTTTCTGAAAACAACCTCAAAAGAGATGATCTCTGACCTCTTGTGCAGTATAATGAATCCACCTTTTGTGTTTCCACCGTGGTTTATCCCAAGACCTGTGAAACTTCTGTGTTTAGATGAGTTCACCATGTTTTTTGCTGATTTTGGGTTGGATTTGGTCTATATATGCTCCTACTTCTGAGTGGGCTTCTATCCTGTATGGTCTTAATCCTAAATTAGCTTCGGAGTTCTGACATTGTTTCGGCTGGATTTATTTGTAACAAGCCAAGAGCTTGATTGCTTTAGTTTGTGGGAGCGCATTAGAATATGAAACATTATCCTTTTTCTGTTAGAATATATCAGTCTTACCATACTTATGTTATTAGCTATTAGGCTACAAATTAGCTACTGATTATTAGGCTGTAATTAAATGCCAATTACCCCCGTGATTACTTCACTCCTTGATTGTAATCAAGGTATAAACAAAAATTAAGTGTGCAGTGCAGCCTGACTTTCTGTTTCAACACACACATACATATATATATATTCGTGTTTGTATATGCATTGTAAGTTCTTCTTCGATTGTGTCAGTGTTTTACTGTGAAAGAATGAGACGGGAAATTTTCTGAATGTGCTTGAGTGAATTTTCTACTCAACAGATTGATCTATTTATAATAAGAAAGGTCACATAGACAAAAAATGGCTACAACTAATTTCAAGAGAACAATTTAAATATCACAACTTCGTAAGATATATTCAGCTTAGCTAAACATTAACTAAGCTATTTGAAGGGTAATAAACATTAAATGCTCGTTTCCAACAGTCACAAATGAATTGAATCAACGGTTATAGTGTGATTGGTGTGCATGCATTCGAGCATGTTTGTTTCAAAATAATGTTTTTTCTGTGCAAGTCAATGAGTGCATTTTAATAGATGGTTCTTAGTTTAATTTTTTCCTGTCATTGTACATTAATGCTGCATAAGCTGTGAAATGTTTTTCAACATAATAATTTTTTCAATTTTTTTAAAATGCTCATCTGTAGGAAATGAAACTAAGACGAGCTCAAGAGGCAAAAAGTTACGGTCCTACTCAATCTGCTTTGGATGCCACTAAGCAAATGTTGAGAACCAAGGTGTTTCTATTAAAAAAATACCTATCCATGTTTTGATATTCTGTTTATTAAACTCATTATAATGGCTTTCCTTTTGTTCCAACATATTTATATGTTTTTAATGTAGTTGTCTTTTTCTCCTTTGTGTAGTTATTATTTTTCATTTTGAAAAGGTGAAACAAATAGGAAGGAAAAGTAAAGAAGGAACTTCCAAAGTATTGCTAATTGTGTAGTTGTTGACATTTGTCTTCTACAAAGAAATAATCCTAGGCATAACATAGTAACCCACCTTTAGGAAGTTGAATGAATGTAGTAACTAATAAGACCATGAATTAACTTAAAACTGCCTAGTTTGGTTTGACGGTTGAGACTTGAGACTTGTGCCTTTAAAACTCTAAATAAATTAAAAATAAATTGGTAAAGCACTGAAGCAAACAGGACCTTTTCTATTATAAGTTGAATTTGTTGTAGTTTCTGAAACATATTATCAAAATTTGGATTTGGAGAGTTATTATAGGACTGATAGCCTACAAGGCTTTCAGGCTGGGTCAGGGCAGTGGAGTTTTCAAGAGATTAAGATCATTGTTTATATGCCTAGATTGGATTCATAATGATGGCTTCATATTCTAGAAGTATGTTGTTAACGTGAAATGTATTATATTGGGAATCAAACATTTTTGGGAGAATTTTTCTTTAAAATGATTTTTTAATTTTGTAGCCTAGGATTTTCTGAAAATGTTTTTATATATTACTAACATGATTTTTTTTTTCCATGATTCATTTGCAGAGGCTCAGCTCCAAAGTCAATTATGATTGCTTGTTAAAATTATTTGACGAACCTGTATGTATTCTCTCCGCAAACATGATAAATTAAATATTCATGTTTTACTTGTTTGTCTCCATCTTCGATGTCATTTGCATGTTTTTTTGTTTTTAAAATTGTCTCTAGATAGATAAAGCACAGATCTATGAGTCTTCAGGTTGCTATTGCTGTTTCATTACTTTATTTTGATATTTTCAATATCAATCTCTTAATGACAAAATCTGGAAGCTTCTATGCAGCGTTGCATGGGTATATTTGCTTGCATTAGCTTTATTTATTTTATTTAATAAATCAAGGAGATTTCTTTTTATTTTATTTTTGCATGCGCTGAAGCCTGTTTAATTAGAGAACAATCTCTGTTGGTTAATGGTTAAGATAGCATTTCTGATTTACCTTTAAGTTGATATGCTTTATTCATATGCTCTGTATATCTCAATCTTTATTTACTCGATAGTAGAGATGTCAAACGGGTCGAGTTGGTTTAGCCCTGTCTAATTGTCAGTTGTAGCTACTTGGTTGTTGTGTTTAGAAGACTAATTTACGATATGTGCATTACCTTAATCATAATTGTGTTTTGCTAGGTAGTCTTTTTAACATTAAACTATAGGAAACATTATGTCGTGAGACAAAACATTGTTTATTCCTGTGAGGAGCTACTGTAGGCGTTAAAAAGGAAATTGCAGTTTGAAAAATTCAAGAAACCATAGGGGGTGTTAGTGTAATTTGCCTAAACTATATTTTTATATTTTTACATAAAGCCAAATGTGAAATAATCACTTTTTGTTATATAGGAAGCACCAGAGAATCAGAAGAATCCCAAGAAAGTACGGTTTGAGCTACCCACCAATGATAATGATAATTTTGAGTCAAAGTTAGAGGACAATATTAAAGATGATGAACCGGGATCAGCTGATGATTTTGAGGATGGTGATATGCACGGAGAATATGAAAATAATTTGTATCAAGAAACTCACGAGACTTATGAATATGATGATGGTGGTTATGATTATGATGATTACTGAAATGCTGCTTGAAGCTCTTTCACTTTACTTTTCGGTCACCTTCTGGAATCCATATTGAACATGACTGGCACCAGTGGAACCAAAGATTGGATGCTGAATGACATCTTTACTTCCTTTCCTTACATCAATCAACCCTAACCCGCATGTGACCTGAGAGCTTAGGAGTTATAGTTGCTTCTCATCATGTATTATTATTATTTTTTTATAGAAGATATTTGATTCATTTTCATTTTTATTTTCTTCTCTTACCCGCATTTGGGCTGAGAGCTTAGGAGTTATAGTGGCTTCTCATCATGTATTCTTTTTCTCATAGAAGATATTTGATTCATTTTCATTTTTATTTTCTTCTCTTACAAGTAATTATTGAGAAAATTCTCCAATGAGGGCTTTAAAAGTTGTTATTGTCTAGTGAAATTTTGGTGTTGAATTTCATCTATAGCTTCCTAATAGATTTTGGTTTCCCTTGTTTTTCCCCCATTTGTAAGATTTGGTCTTGTTTGTAGTGTTAAGATTTAACTGCATGCAATTGCAGTCTTTGTGATTACTTGTGATTACGGTGGATGGATGAGGTTATGAGGGAATATATCGTAATGTGTATATTTTGATTGGTTGATAATATAAAATCATTTTATACAGTTAGTATATGATTACTAAATTTAATTATATTACAAAACCATTTTATTGATAATATTGTGGTTGGTATAATTTCAATTAGTGTCTTTTGATGGACATAAAAACCGAATAAATTCTTGCTTTAGGAAATGGCATTCTAGTTAAATTGCTGTTTTATTACTAATGTTGGAGATTAAAGTGATACATGTATTAACTTTTAAAGACGGTTAAACTATTTATAAGGTTTTGTTGTCATTTTGGGTCTTTATATGAAAAAATATGTAAGTTTCAATCTATTAACATTGTTGGTGAAATGTGATGAATTGTTCTGAGTCATTTATTGTTGGGAACAGCTGCCACCAGCTGCCAATGCCACTTTCGGTGGCTTTTAATTTAAAATTAAAAGCGGGTCCCACATGATAATAAAATAATATTAAAAGTTTAGGAGAAATTACGAAAATGCCATTGGGACTTTCCTATAAATAGGGAAGCTGAAAATCATAATTTTCATCCCAAATCTTCTTCTCTTCTCTCTTCCTCTCTTATACACCTTGAGATCTGTTCTCGGTAGTAGTAGTCTCCTAATTCAAAGGAGTAAGTTATAGAGAGAGAAGTGTTGTAATTTCCTCCCTTTCAGTAAATAATATTTTTACTGTGGTTATTTTCTCCCTTGTCTCTTTTT